GAGCTTGGAGTGATGTATTTCAAGCCCTAAAGGAAAACAGCCTCCAATCCAGATTGATGTACCCTGCAAAACTATCTTTCAAAATTGATGGAGACATAAGATACTTTCATGACAAAGAACACCTTAGGAATTTCATGAATACCAAACTAGCACTCCAAAAAATTTTAAACAATATCCTAGGAAAACACAACAAGGATCACAACCCCAGGAAGCCCAGTAGAATGAATCCATCAGGCACAAGAAATTAAAGCAAAGGGGGAAAGTCCAACAAAAAGAAAAAGAATGACAATGATGAGTCAATACATATCAGTTTTAACCATCAATGTTAATGGTTTCAATTCACCAATCAAAAGAAATAGATTGGCAGAATGGGTTAAGAAGCAAGATCCATCAATATGCTGCATAGAAGAAACAAACTCAATTCAAAAAGAAACTCATAGACTGAAAGTTAAAAAGTGGAAAACAATACTTCATGTGATAGGAACCCAAAAGAAAGCAGGAGTAGCTATCCTCTTTGCAGACCAAGTGGATTTCAAGCCAACACTGATTAGGACAGACAAAGAAGGACACTACATCCTTGTAAAGGGAACAATCCAACAGGAAGAGATGACAATCATAAACATATATGCACCAAACACTAGTGCAGCCAACTATATAAAACAAATACTAACAGACATGAAAAATCAAATAAGCACTAATACAAAAGGAGTGGGGGACCACAATACCCCACTGTCACAAATAGATAGATCAACTAGTCAAAAAATAAGCAACGAAATACCAGAACTCAGTCAAACTTTTGAACAAATGAACTTAACAGATGTTTACGGAGTGTTCCACCCCACAAAATCAGAATGTACATTCTTTTCAGGTGCACACGGGTCGTTTTCCAAAATAGACTACATACTCATTTATAGAACATGTTTAAGTGCAAAGGAATTGAAGTTATACCCTGCATATTATCAGACCATAGTGCAATAAAATTGGAGACCAACAGCAAAAGAAACTGCAGGAATTTCATAAACACATGGAAATTGAACAACACACTCCTGAATAACCAATGGGTCTCAGAGGAAATTAAAGAAGAAATTAGACAGTTTCTACAAGTAAATGATAATGCCAGTACAACATACAGGAATCTATGGGACACAATGAAAGCAGTCTTACAGGGGGAGTTTATAGCGCTGAATACTCTTACTAGGAAAACAGAGCGAGCCCAATTAAACAACCTGATGCTGAACCTCAAACTTCTAGAAAAAGAAGAGCAAGACAACCCCAAAGCTCATACAAGGAAGGAAATTATAAAGATCAGAGCAGAAATCAATGCAATGGAGTCGAAGAGAACGATAGAAAAAAATCAATGAAGCAAAGAGTTGGTTCCTCAAAAGAATAAACAAAACTGACAAACTCTTAGCCAATCTTATCAGAAAAAGGAAAGAAAAAGCCCAAATCCATGCAATAAGGAAAAGGATGAGGTGACAATGGACCCAGCAGAAATCCAGAAGATTATCAATACCTACTTTGCAAACCTATATGCCAATAAGATGGAAAACACAGAAGAAATGGAGATTCCTAGATATATATGAATTATCAAAGTTGAAAGAAGACCTAAAAATTCTAAACCACCCAATATCAATCAATGAAATTGAAAACTTAATTAAAAACATACCAAATAAGAAAAGCCCAGGTCCTGATGGCTTCAATGATGAATTCTACAAGACATTTGGAGAGGGACTACTGCCAATACTGTTTAAACTCTTCAATGAAATTAAAAGGGAAGCAATACTCCCAAATTCATTCCTGGAAGCAAGCAT